TCATTGATTAATTAATAATAAAAATGCTGCACGAAACTATGAGTAGAAATGGCTGCTATTCGCTATGTGCAAAAGTGACTGTGGCGCTGTCTGTGGCCAATTTTCAAACTTCGCAGTGATAAAAATACGTTTAAGCTAAATTAAAACATCACTACATAGTACAAACAAAGTCGTTCCCACTGTCTGATTTTGATGCGGTTTTTTTTAATAGATAGAGTAATTCAAGAGGAAGGTTTATATGTATAATACATGCATAATATAGTAGAGAAATACTGATAATTTTAGAGGTTTCTAATGTGATGTCGTAAATAGAAACATTTTTTTGCGCTTACATTGCAAACGCTGGCTGAACCTTACGAGACAGATCAAAATAATGTACTACAGTATTGTACACCATAAAAAGGTCTACAAAAAAGTCCGTGATGGTATATGTCTATCTCTTAGGGATAACCCACAATAACCATTTTTATCCTTTACTTTTTATGAGAAATAATGACTTATTTACGAAGCGATTGTACGCAATACAGCATTAATTCTTATCCAATTAAGTACCTTAAATACATTGTGCATTTAATATAGATCAATATGGCCCTTTACAGCATGTAATTTAAATTAATATTTTCGAAGATATTACAGATTTAAAATGCAGGGACATAGCGGTTGCGGAGGTACAGGGCGGGAGACCGGTTTGTATTGTCTAATGACAAGAAACTGTGAATGTTGTATATAAAGACATTCTGTAGTATAATTAGTATTGACATTTCACCCGTGCGAAGCTGGGGCGGGTCGCTAGTTTAAAATAAAATAGTTTTGTTGAAAAAATATCATAATATTTACTGTTGCCTTCGGACTGCACCTAACCAATTTAGTCGCCTCTGTAACTTGTGTGGAAACAGTGGGTTTGAGGTTGGAAAACAATAAAATTTGAAACTTGAATTACGCGTTGTATTTGAACAATCAATTACAGAACACGAATAAAGTGCTTTCTGACGTGGTGACATAGTTTGCAGAATAAAACTTAATAAATTGTATCTATTAAATAATTATTTCTTTGAGTGTGTACAATTTCTTAAGTAGTTAGATTTATTCACTGTAAAGTTTCTAAAACCGACGCTTCAGGCGCTGGCGTCAACCTGCACATAGCGAATAATAACCAAAAGCACAAAAATCACGCACGTCTTTAATTAAATGTATTGCACCTTGGATTGGAATAGATAAATAGAGTTCGAGACCAAAATCCCATGTACTTTACATAATATTTTGAAGATTAATTTTCCGTCGTTTTGAAATCAATCTGTAGTTACGTGTATTAAGCATTAATAATAAAAGATAAGTGAAAATCATAAAATTTGCACAAATTTAGGGGTTAGTCACCTTTTCAATTATTTGTAATGTTACAGAATAATAGTCGTGATACTTACACAATTAAAAGTAATTATGTTGTTACTAATATATCTATATAAATGTTCGTTTTGTGTTAATTATCGCTGTTACTAAAAGAATATGTAATAACACTCAAAATAAATATCTATGTATGCAATATATATGCAAATAAATTTTTTTGGCATTCAGAAAGAATGAAGTGATCATAATTTGATTATCTATGATAGTATTTTAGTATTCGAATGGACGTTTCTGACAAAATCTGCTTGAGTAGTAATAATTTTCCACAGGTAACACGGGTCAACACGAATCTTCAATCTGAGTTCTGTATGTCTTAGTTTGATTTCTTATGCCTAACTAAGGAAAACAATGAAAGAAAAAATAATTTATGTAATAAAGTTTGATTTGTAGCTACCAGAAAGAAATTTAAAATCTTATGGAAAATCTTTTTTTCGTTAATTTTTGTTATATATATAACAGAAAAGCTAGCTTTGATTTATATCCTTACAAAAGGCGATTGAAATAAACCTATAAATACAAAAAGGAATACAAATAATTGTTAAAATGAATATTTTGGTGTTTCTTGAACTTTCCGACATCAGTCCCTAAATTTAGTAACCCATCATGTTCTCATTATATTTTATCCTTGATAACGTTGTTTAAAGTACATCACATCTCAGTGAAAGCATTCCATGATTTTCTGAATATCCCTCCAACCTCAACTGATATTTAAATTAATCTAAGTGAGCATGTAGCATGTGTACTTTAAGGGATATTCTGTAACCCACGAGTTCGAAGTTATCAAGCATATAAGAAATAAGCTGTTTGTACTTTTCAGCATTTTTATTGCCAACAAAGCCGTGGATGTTATGTCTGTTTTTAGTGAATGTGCAGTAATTAGGAAAAATTCTTTAAATATTGAAAAGTTTCCGAGTTTTGATCTTTTGGAGGCATCAAAGCTTGATCAGGCTTTACAATCGGTTTTTTCTTGACATTTATTTTCATATCTGAAGCTCAATCAGCTTATAGCTTTAACCATGAGTGCTGGTAGTGAAATGCGTCGGATTTATTATCCCAAGCAAAGATAGAATGGATATTTGGTGTATTCGCTTGCATTCCTACCAGAAAGGACATTTTTTTGACTCTTTTAATGAATTCGCCGCAAATGTAGTAGAAAGAGTCATGTTATTTTTACTCTTTTTGGAAGGCATTTTTTGACTTCTTGATGCAACCCTTTTTACCCCCTCCCCCTTTGGAGGTTTAATTTTTTAGAATGCCGAGATATGTGCTTCACAAATTGAATGAGGGAACATTAAGTTTTAAGTAAATTTGACCACAACAATATATATTCCATTCAACCATTGCAACTCCTTTTTACCATTTCTTTTATTTCTTAATCAAGTTTCAAGTAAATCCGTCCAAAAACAAAAATGTTCCGTACAGTCTTTGCAAATCCTTTTCAGCTCCGTGCAGAGGTTGAATTTTTTAAAATGTTGAAATAGGTATGTAGGTATATCACTAATTTTGTATGAAAAAAAAAATCGATTGTCTGTAAAGTCGGTTTACTGACGATAGTTGAACATGACAACGTCATAAGAAAATACTGATGGAATGGTTTCATTATTCAATAGAAAATTTTAATTTTATTTGTTTGATAGATATTTTGTATGGATATAGAGAAGGAGGTAAATGGAAATGTATTATTGTATAGCAGCTGTCCACGCGGACGCATCGCTCACTCAAGTAGGAGAGAGACAG